TGCGTGCATGCGTGCGTGCGTGCGGTGTACATTGAGCTGCATAGGTGCATGTGTGCATGCGTGCGTGCATGCGTGCGTGCGTGCGGTGTACATTGAGCTGCATAGGTGCATGTGTGCATGCGTGCGTGCGTGCGTGCGTGCGTGTGGTGTACATTGAGCTGCATAGGTGCATGTGTGCATGCGTGCGTGCGTGCGTGCGTGCGTGCTGTGTACATTGAGGTGCGTAGGTGCGTGTATGTGCGTGCGGTGTACATTGAGGTGTGTGTGTGCATGCGTACGTACATGCATGCGTGCGGTGTTCACGTGTGTGCGTTTATGTGCGTGCGTGCGTGCGAGCGTGTCTGCGTGCGGTGTACATTGAGGTGCGTAGGTGCGTGTATGCTGCGTGCATGTGTACGTGTAAGTGTGTACGGTGTACATGTACCTGCGTGCGTGCGGTGTACATGTGTGTGCGTGCGTGCGTCCGGTGTACATGAGTGTTCTTGCATGTGTGCGTGTCTGCGTGTCTGCGTGCGTGTGTACATGTGTGTACATGCGTGCGAGCGAGCGAGCGTGCGTGTGTGTGTGTGTGCGTGCGTGCATGAGCGTGCGTGAGTGTGTGTGCGTGCGAGCGAGCGAGTGAGTGTGTGTGCGTGTGTGAGCGTGCGTGCGTGCATGAGTGCGTGCATGCGAGCGAGTGAGCGTGCGTGAGTGTGTGTGTGAGCGTGCGTGTGTGCGTGCATGCGTGTGTGCGTGCGTCGTGCGTGCGTGTGTGTGCGTGCATGCGTGCGTGCATGAGCGTGTGTGTGCGTGTGTGAGCGTGCGTGCATGCGTGTGTGAGCGTGCGTGAGTGAGTGAGCGTGTGTGAGCGTGCGTGCGTGCGTGCGTGTGTGCGTGTGTGAGCGTGTGTGAGCGTGCGTGCGAGCGTGCGTGCGTGCGTGCGTGTGTGTGTGCACACTGATGTGAAGACAGAGCTGACATTTCCCTTCCGACCTTCAGCTGTTTCGCACGCGTCGCTTCCGCCGCCGGAAGAAGCCGACAGCTCTGCGGAGCAGGAAGAAGTGGCGCCCCCTAGTAAGAAGAAGAAGAAGAAGAAGGCGGAAACGGCCAGCGAGTCAGAGGTGAGAATTTGCGCTAGTGGAATTATTGATAATATCTATTGGTTATTGATCGCGTAGGTTGCACCAATCGTTTTCGCCCAAGAGTAAATTTTATGATGAATTCATTTAGTCGACATTTTTCAAAAAGTATTGATTGTTGATAAAACGTTGATAATATTGATCATTGATTATTGATCGCATCACGTTTATTTAGTTGACATTGTGCATAATTATTGATTGTTGATAAAACATTGATAATATTGATTGGTTATTGATCGCGTCACTTTGATTTAGTCGACATTGGGCAGTTGGTGTGAAGCTTTTTTTGGCAACAGTATCTACAGCTGACAGACTGTGGTTTGTGGATTGTTAAAACTGTTGCCAACTGGTCGAATTACCGAATTTAATTGAATAGTTATTAAGCCACCTAATTAATAGCTTAATTAATTACGAGCTGGAACAGCTGCCGCAAAATTTGAAGCGTCCGTGTGATTCTCCTACTGATACCGCCTAACGAAGGAGGGAGATGCATTCGCAGGCGAAAATAGCCCTCCTCCTCCTCCTCCTCCTCCTCCCTCCTCTTTTCTCCTCCCTCCTGCTTGCTGCTGTACTGCTGCTGCTGCTGTAACTAGCTGCTGCTCTGCTGCTGCTAGCCTTCCTGACTCATGAAACCATAGTCCATCCTCCTACTCTCTTCTCCTCCTCCGTCCTCTCTCTCCTCATCCGTCCTACTACTCTCCCTCCTTCCTACTGCTGCTTGCTTGCTGCTGCTAGCCTGCCTGGCTGGCTGCTGGCTGAACGCTGCTCGCGGCTGCTGCTGCTGTGCCTCTGACATACTGTACCTCTCCTCGCTCCTTCTCCTCCTCTTGGCTAGCTGCTGCTGCTTGAACTGCGCAAGTCCTCCTCATCCTTGGCTGGCTCCACTCCTTCAGCTCTTCTTGACCTCCCTCCTACCAGCTCCTCTTCCTCCTCTCGTCCTCCTCTTCCCTTTTCCTCCTGCTGCTGCTGCTGCCATGCTGCTGCTGCTGACATGCCCTCCTCCTCATCTGCTCTCTCCTCCCTCCTCGTCTGACCTACTCCTCCTACCTCTCGCCATCTCTCCTCTTACCTCCTCCTTCCTATTCCTCCTCGCTGCTGTGCTGTGCATGCTGCTGTGGCATCGACCAACTCTAATCCTGTGCCATCTTACCGTCTCTCTATCTTCTCCTCCTCTCCGCCATCACGGCCTCCTCCTGCTGCTGCTGCTCCTCCTCCTCCGGCTCATCTAACGACCTTCTCCTCTAATGACCTTCTCCGCTGATCCTCGCAGGGGGACGGCTCCGACGTCGACAGGAAGAAGAAGAAGAAGAAGAAGCGTCGGAAGCACAAGAAGCACCGGAAACACAAGCACAAGAAGGAGGTAATTAGCCACCCGTCGACGAGGCGCTCTCTCTAATTAGTCGCTAACGAGCCGTGACTTAACGAGCTCTAACGAAGCCGTGCGTGGGCGATCCGAAACATTTTTAATAAAATTTCCAAGCCGTCGTCATCGCCTCCCGTAGATTAAGACTCCGACGACGTCCCTCTAATTAATCGCTAACGATGTCGTGACCTAACGATGCCACGCCACCAGGTCTTTCGCCTTCTCATTTTATCGTCCCGCCCCCTAGTGTCGCCGCCGTCGGTTAGACCCCTTAATTAATCGCTAACGACCCACGAGCTAACAACGCCGTGCGATTAACCCAAACTGACGTGCGCAGGAGGAAGGCGAGCGACTGCTGGCGCCACCTGGTAGCAGCCTCGACGAGCTAGAGAAGGAGCTGAGAGAGAGGGCGCTACTGTCTATGAATAAGGTGAAAGCCGAAAATTACCTGTCCTAGATAACTTTGCATTCGCGATAACTTTGTGAGAAGGGCCCTTGTTGTGAGAAGGGCCCTTTATTGTGAGAAGGGCTCTTTATTGTGAGAAGGGCTCTTGTTGTGAGAAGTGCCCTTTATTGTGAGAAGGACCCTTTATTGAGAGAAGGCCCTTGTTGTGAGAAGGGCTCTTTATTGTGAGAAGGGCCCTTTATTGTGAGAATGACCCTTTATTGTGAGAAGTGCCCTTGTTGTGAGAAGGGCCCTTTGACCTTTATTGTGAGAAGGGCCCTTGGGGAGTGCATCTGTTCATCACTGCAATTTGCGAAAGACTGCAGATGCCGTGGTTACTTGCGAAGTTGCTTTTATTACTTGTTGCAGTTGACCTTATTGGCCAGGTTTCCATCCTTACTTGCCAGGTTTCCATCCTTACTTGCCAGGTTTCCATCCTTACTTGCCAGGTTTCCATCCTTACTTGCCAGGTTTCCATCCTTACTTGCCAGGTTTCCATCCTTACTTGCCAGGTTTCCATCCTTACTTGCCAGGTTTCCATCCTTACTTGCCAGGTTTCCATCCTTACTTGCCAGGTTTCCATCCTTACTTGCCAGGTTTCCATCCTTACTTGCCAGGTTTCCATCCTTACTTGCCAGGTTTCCATCCTTACTTGCCAGGTTGCCTTTATTACTTGCCATATGCTTTTTCTTGTCGTTTAGCGTCGTTCAAGCGTTCTCTTGTTTCGCAGGTGCAGGCGACGACGCTCGAGGAATTCGAGGAGCAGCTGCGGCTGCGCGAGGAGGAGGAGTCACTCCGCCGCCAGGTGGCGCAGCATGCGCACCGGCAGACGGCGAAGTCGGACGACTGAGCGCCGCCGACGACGACCGTTCGCTTGTTTGTGCCGCGGGACGATAGATGGCGTGACGTGTCGGATTGCTTGAGAGAGCGGCGAGAGAGATGGGAGGAGAGCTCGGTGTCTCCCCCTGGGGGTGCGTTCGTAGTTCGCAGGCGGCAATTTGCCGGAGAGAATGAGAGAGGAGAGAGAGAGAGAGAGAGAGAGAGAGAGAGAGAGAGAGAGAGAGAGAGAGAGAGAGAGAGAGAGAGAGAGAGAGAGAGAGAGAGAGAGAGAGAGAGAGAGAGAGAGAGAGAGAGAGAGAGAGAGAGAGAGAGAGAGAGAGNGGAGAAGGTGATAGAGATCGAAAGAAGGTCATGGAGGAGGAGTAGGGGGAGGAGGAGGAGGGGAGAAGGTGATGGAGTAGGGGGAGGAGGAGGAAGGGAGGAGGGTGAGGAGGAGGAGGGGAGAAGGTGATGGAGTAGGGGGAGGAGGAGGGGAGGAGCGGAGAAGGTAATGGAGATCGAATAAAGAAGGTCATGGAGGAGGAGGAGGAGGAGGAGGAGGAGGGGAGATGGTGTTGGAGTAGGTGGAGGAGGAGGATGGGAGGTGATGGAGTAGAGGGAGGAGGTAGACCGAATAAATGGCGAATGAGATTTACTAAAGTGGAATGAAGCGGGGTTTCTGAAAAACACTTTTTTAAGAAGTGAATAACGACTGAAGTGAATATTCATGCACATCAGTAGCAAGGTAAAGCCATGTAGAAGGGAACGGTAGGCTTTTTTACCCGCCGATACCGGCGTACGGGCCGCATTAGCAGCGCATGCATTTTGCATGCGATCTCACGAAATTTCAATGCACCCCGTTCTGTCCCAATAACCCTCACCAAAATAAAAAAAAATGTTATCTAGGACAGAATTATCTTAACCCGGGTGCCCATAGGCGGGTAAATTGAGACTGGGGTAATCTCAGGAGGAGGAGGAGGAGGAGGAAGAGGGGAGAAGGTGATAGAGGAGGAGTAGGGGGCAGGAGGAGGAGGAGGGGAGACAGTGATAGATGAGCAAGAGGTGAGAAGGTGATGGAGATCGAAGGGAGAAGGTGATGTGGGAGTAGGAGGAGGAGGAGGAGTAGGAGGGGGATAGTTGAATTATTCACATTATCAGGAGTAGATAACAACATAACAACATGTTTTAGCATTGTGCCAATGGCTAGAAATCGGTGGTGGCAGTATATTTTTTAACCGTCCCGTTTCATTAGACAATAGATCATTATAAAAACTATTGTTGTTGTCAATACTCTATAAAAAGGCTATATTTTCACTGAGTGAACAAATTTTTTAACTAACCGTTTTCTCAAACGAAATTTGCCATTAAAGTATAGATAACACGGTAACTCCACGGGTATTAAACGACATAATTGTGTTCACTCGGCACTTTGTTCTCCTATTTCGTCTGATCGTTTTTCTAGGTGCTTGTATATAGCTGGACGAGTTTTAATCAATGTTGACTAGTCACAGAACGATCGAGTGTGTGGCTGTGTGCCATCTTCGCGGTAGTTTGCCGGTGTGGTGTTTTGAACATAAACATTGTTCAAATTTACATTACTATCATAGTGGCGGGAAGTTGGACTTGCAGTTGTAGTATACGGCAGTGGCTGTATACTGGTGGATAGACTGATAGCTAAGTAAGTGTGCTGGGACTATTTGAGACAACCATTTGAGAGGTAGTTCATGTTCTATGCCTATGGCATGTAAAGTATACAGTACTAACACACAGTCACAGTGTAAACCGACCAGGCTCTCCGACTGTTACACGTCGTAGGACCTCTGGGACCTCTCGCCAACGTAGAAGCGAGAAGGGTAGCGATGTTATGCAGATCATCACTCTCCCGCTGTATACTCTGTGTGGATCATGTTTTCAGTCATATATCCTTCAGTAGTCCATTCCTGTAAATTGTTTTCCGTCGCTTCCAGTGTTCAAAATTAGTGCCGACCCGGAGGCCCGAGGCCACCAAGTTTTTGCTTCGGCCACCAACTCTACGAAACTGCCGGTCCTCCTGACCAGCACTTTTTCCCCTCATATTACGCTGAAATACTACGGTTATTGCAACGGCAGTTTAGACAGACTTGTAAACAGGAGCGCATTCTAATACGCTCCGTTCTTGAACATAGACGGGGTGTCCAAAACATCTAGAGCCGAGGGCATGAACTCCCTCAACGCATGATTCGCCACACGCACAAAACCTTGTGACAGTCAAAGAAATCGATGGCGGCATGTAGCGTAGCAGTGTTTTTATTACCTCATAACAATAAGTTCATATGTCGCAGGGGTTATCGTGGGGAGTGAGGGCACGACCAGTGACTTTTCTTTATGCAGAAAGTGGATTATTTTTATTCAGTTAGATATCTAGAAGCAATGTAAACTGTATATACTTCTATTTCATCAGGATTCCAGGGATCGAATTTTACGACGGCAACTGACGGCATTTGCCGCCGGAACATATTGATTTGCCGTCAGAGGTAGTCTGTATCGGCGGCAAGTAAATGCCGTCGTAGCACTTGGTACCTAAATGCCGTCAGATGTATAATTTAATGACGTGGATATTACAAATATACACGCAAGTACAAACAGTCACCCTACCCCTATCCTTAACCCTAACACTAACACTAACTCTAAACCAACTCGGCATATTAAATAATCTAACAATGTGTCTCACTGCTGCTCTGTGTCTGGACTTATTGTATTTTATTACATGTAAATATTTTAAATTGACAAAAACTTTAATAGTAATTGTACCATCTTGGTTTTATTCATATTTGATACCATAATAAAGAAATAATTGTATATATGGGGGCGTTACAGTAGTTGTTATGGAAGAGTTGTGGGAGGCATGAGTGTATTTTGGTTTAATCATTTGAAGAGCTTGCATTTGAAGAGGAAGTCATTCTGTTGTCCTTTACTTTAAACACTCAAAGAATCCTTGATTTAATGGATCCCTAGTGTGTGCGTGTGCGTGTGCGTGTGCGTGTGCACGTGCACGTGTGTGTGCGTGCGTGCGTGCGTGCGTGCGTGCGCGCGCGTGCGTCGGTCACACATGATGTGTGCGTGAGGTCATGCGTGTGTGTACGTGCATGTGCGTGCGTGCGTTGGTCACACATGACGTGTGTGTGTGCGTGTGAGTGCGTGTGCGTACGTGTGAGTGCACGTGCGTGCGTGTGAGTGTGCGTGTGTGCTTAGGTGCACGTGTGCGTGTGTGTGTGAGTTCATGCGTGTGTGTGTGCATGCGCACGTGTGCGCGTGAGTGCACATGCGTCGGTCACACTTCACGTTCTGCTTGTGTGCGTACATGTGTGTGAGTGTGTGTGTGTGTGTGTGATCATGAGTTCATGCGTGAAAGTGTGAGTGCGTATGTGCGTGAATGCGTGCATGCGTGAGTGTGCGTGCATGCACGAGTGCGTGTGTGTGCGTGCATGCACGAGTGCGTGTGTGTGGGTGCATGCAGGAGTGCGTGTGTGTGCGTGCATGCACGAGTGCATGTGTGTGTGCATGCACGAGTGTGTGTGTGTGCGTGCATGCACGAGTTGCGTGTGTGGCTGCATGTACGAGTGCGTGTGTGCGTGCATGCACGAGTGCGTGTGTGTGTGAGTGAGTGCATGCACGAGTGCGTGAGTGTGTGCGTGCATGCACGAGTGCGTGTGTGTGTGCATGCATGCACGAGTGTGTGTGTGTGTGCATGCACGAGTGCGTGTGTGCGTGCATGCACGAGTGCGTGTGTGCGTGCATGCACGAGTGTGTGTGTGTGCGCGCATGCACGAGTGCGTGTGTGCGTGCATGCACGAGTGAGTGTGTGCGTGCATGCACGAGTGTGTGTGTGTGTGCGTGCATGCACGAGTGTGCGTGCATGCACGAGTGCGTGTGTGCATCGTATCTGCGCATTCACTTTCGATGTGGTAGTGATCGATCGTTTGTAACTCTGCGTGTATCCAGCGAGTGTTTGACCGAGTTCGCGCAGGTGAGGCGGCAGCATCAGCAACAGCAGCAGCACCAGCAGCAACAGCAGCAGCAGCAGCAGTAGTAGCAGACATAAGACAGAGATCCTCTCTCTCTCTACTCTCTACAAACTAGTAAACATCGAAGCTTTACTTCTCAATATTTGGTTTCTCGCTCCACGCACCAAGACCCTAGCTAGCAGGGGGGGGGGGGGCTGCGAGGGTCGAGAGGAAATAATAAAACCAGCTTGAGATAAGAGTTCGATCACTAACCGTCGATTGGTAACCATCGATTGGAAGATATACGAAAGAGTACAAATTTTTGTATCCGGCTTTGAAATCTAGCTGGTGTGTCGAGTGTAATTAAAAATGTATCTTTTAAAAAAATTAATTTGTTGAGTCCTCGTAACGATGTTTTGCGTGTGCGTCTGCGAATCATGAACGCACCGTCGTATAGATACAGTTCATAGGTCGATGTGCGTGCGTGCGTGCGTGCGTGCGTGCGTGTGTGTGCGCGAGAGCACACGCAGACGATATGTGACGTCACGATGATGGGTGTAGAGTCGGTGACGTCAGTAGTCATAGTTAGAAACGTAATAAGAAGGATCCACTTTAAGGGTGACAACGAAAGTATACGCTGATGTGTTTACAACTGCTATGATCTATAAATAGACGATGTAACGAGTAAAAAAATAACTGTGGAATAAATGTTTACCATGTAAGAAAAAAAAATTGCCAGTTTTGTTTTTCTTTTTTCTTTTTGCAAATGTTTTGTTCGTGATATTTTATTACGATATATTACGCGTTTTTGCTCTACTGTCGCTCTTTAATACACGTTATTGTTATGTACGAACCATTTTTCTGTCCAATGTAATATTTATGTCGTACATCTCAGGCAAAGAGCTTATAATCATAAGCTCTGTGACGTCTCTGGTAGGATATAGTATTTCGCTGTGGCGTCATAGGACGTCGTAATTGTCAAATTATAGCAGTAGAGCCAAAGTTGTTACTTGTTAACCAGTCGTCTTTATTGTCAAGCGCGTGGCCAGGGGGGATCCTGGGGGCCCTAGGACCCCCAATCGAAATCGAAGTCAAAATATGTTTTCTCTTAAAAGCGCGTAGCTGGCCTAATCATGGCCTTGTTAGAAAAGACGGTAGTCACACAGCATGGTCGGGTTAGGTGTCGTTGTAGAGCTGCAGATGAAATAGTATTGTCAACAAAACAGCGTCTAAATTGATTTTAAAGCACTATTTTTAGCTCATCTGAC